TCTCTCCCCCCCCCTCTCTCTCTCTCTCTCTTTCTCTCTCTCTCTCTGTCTCTCTCTGTCTCTCTCCCCCTCCCTCTCTCGTAAGGGGAATGCACTCAGGGCGGACATTCCTGTGCGTGGGTCAGTGGGGAAGGGTTGCCAGCATTGTCTTCCTCGCACAGATTCCTTCACACATCCCGGCGACTCTCCTCCAAATTCTACGCATTCCTCGCTTATTGTCAGTCTCGGCCGAAGTCACTCCCGAACACTGCTTCATAAAACTGACCGGCGGTCACTTGTAAACTGACCACCGCGGCGGCGGTCTCTCTAGGCTAATGCAGCCGTCGCCACCACCCGCCGCTGTCGCTGTCGGCCACGCTAGGGGTACTCGCGGTGATATAAAAGCTTTACTGGTCAATACTGATGAAAGAGAAAGCGATGACCAGGTACTGTCATCGTGTGTGTGTGTGTGGGGGGAGGTGTGTATGTGTGTGCGTGCGTGCGTGCGTGCGTGCGTGCGTGTATGTGTGCGTCCGGCGCGTGCGTGTGTGTATGTGTGCGTCCGGCGCGTGCGTGTGTATGTACGTGTGCGTGCGTGCGTGCGTGCGCGCGTGTGTGTCTGTGTTCCTGTGGTCAGCATGTCTGTCGGATGAGAACCAACGTGGATGATGGGTCCATAAAGACGGACGAGCTAGCACCCACCCCTACGACTACGGGCAGCAGCGGGAGATGCCGAACACTAAATAAATAGCTGTCGTTCAGCAGGACCATCACTGCGGGACGTGTCCGCGGGTGAACAACAGAAGGGAAACCCATCACCGCAGCTTCACATGAAAACCTATGTGTCTTACATCCTATCAGGAGTGAATCATAATAAATCTATTGTTATTCACTCCTGATCCTATTGTACATCCACGTAGACAAACTTCACATCACCGAGGCACTGGAACCTCACCGGGTTATATGCACAGTCGCACTTAACAACACACCGAGAAATGAAACAGAGGCACCCACTGCCTTCTCACAGCCTCCCGATTGGACTAACTCCTCCATTGTTGGAATCCACTCGTTGCGCGTTTAAGTTGAGTGCAGCAACACATACATACGTACGTACGTACGCACGCACGCACGCACGCACGCACGCACGCACGCACGCACGCACACGATCACCGTTCTAAAATCGATTACATTGTCTTTAGTAGTTAATCGACGACAGGTGCCGGTGGAGAAAAAATGAGGTTGTTGAAAGGAATTGAAGCGTACGAACGTTGCACGAATTGCTAAGGGGAATAAAAACATTGCGTTAAAACGAATTTCAACGAAATTTGCCGGAAAATCGCCGACATTTGCGGTAACTACACGTCGCAGCACAGCGAGACTCATTTTCTGCATCTGCTGAAACATGTGGTCGTGGAAGACTCATAGAGTCTCGTGAATAATCACTGTTATTCAGCTGTGATCGCTCCAGACGATAGAAATCATACTAGTTAGACTTCTCTCAGTCGTAAGATTAGTGTTTCTATATATTTCTATGCTTCAGACAGACAACAAAACACACGCATGTCAGCACTGATCTCTATATACAAAGCTAGTATTGATTTAGTGTGACTACTATTATAATAGTGATTGTCAAGCCGCGCAACCGAACATTTCCTCCTATCGCCGAGATCGCTGTAAAACAAGAGAGCAATTTAAAAAGACATCTTAAGGAAACGTAACCCGATGACATGGTTTTTTTTTCTCTCCGGTGCGTTTTTTCTCGTATGTTTGCCATTTCGGTTACGACACTTTTGTCGTAATCGGGTTAGTACCCTTTGAAGGAGACACACATAGTCTGAAGAGAAATCCGTTCCTATGTGTATAGATTCTGGATATACTAACCTAATACCCTATTACATCTATCAGACAAACCTACTGAAAACACATGAGTTAGAAAGGAAACATACAAGACATTTTTTAAAGAAAACGTCCAAGATTAGAGACATTCCACGAGAGAAATGGAATTGACAGCATTGGCCATTTTTTGACTTATATACACGCGGAGGTACCGACGTGAGGATTAGGAACAAACAGTCAACGCAGTAGATCGTCAGATACGATACATAGATATAGC